GCTCCTATCTTTCTCTCGTTTCCTGAACAACGATAGAACTGGTATTCCTCACACTGCCATACCTGTAGTTATTCTTGCCATTAATGTCGATGATGAGGTTGAGTCCGATAATGAAAGTCAAGCTATGGAGGAGGAGGAGTCTTCAATGGCCTGGGCTATGGATGAGTCAATGGAGGAGGACTATGGGGCATTGCAGCTCGTTCCAGCAACACAATCATCTCTAGACGCCTTGAAGGAGATGAAATTCGATAGTTCTGGTTCTATTGATCACTGCTCGATTTGTTTGGAGATGTTTTGTCACGAAGACTTGATTACTAGCATGCCATGTTCTCATCCATATCATGGAATTTGTATTCATCGGTGGCTAAAGACCAGCCACTACTGTCCCCTGTGCCGTTTTGAGATGGAAACCTAATTGATCCATTAGGTTTTATTTTTACTTATATATGAAACTGAATTTTGTATAGAAGGAATGTAATGAAGGTTTTAAACTTTTACTTGTGTGTTGTAAGGCTCAATATATTTTGTATACAATGAAGGTTCTGTGATTCTTTGTAGATGATATCACAAGCTATGCAATGAAGGTTCTATGTTCTGTGTATATTTTGTATTCAATGAAGATATTTCTTCTACGTTGACTTTAACAAATATGGAACCATTTAGCTCTTTTACATCAGATATGGTTGCCAGTTTTTGGGAGTTTCATTTGGTTTAAGAGGGATTGTTTTATGTGGTTGCCTACATGCAGGTCTGACGGTGGATAACAAATTTCTCAAGGCTAGCTACTAATCCACTTCTGGTAAATGGTTCTTCATGAGTGTCATTGGTAACCAATTTTCATATACCACAGGACTGGATCGATATGAGATTTGATGATGAACTTCATGAGTGTCATTGGATTATCTTCTTCCATTTGTTTCTTTCCCATAGAGTGAAAGTATCAAGAAATTAATGATAAGAATCAATTAGCTGCGTGGATTAATGAGACCTCCTAATGAATTAACTTTTCTTGGGGCTGTACGTTTGATTGAGATTAGTGCCTCGCTAGCCAGCAGAACCATATTAAAGTGGATCAAGTGAATTTTCTTTCCAAGAAACTCAAATCCAAAATGCATGGAAAACATAATCTCACTGAAACCTGTTCGTGATGCTTTTTCGCAAGACTAACTATGCTCTTCCCTCTATATATACTTGAACATAATTAATTTCCTTGGCAACAAGTTTTATTGCATCATTTTCGAGTTTATTCAGCATGTGGCAGGCTTTTATATCCAACCAGACAATTGGGTAGACCTCATTGCTTGGTGCTCTAAGTTTTGGACAACAAAACAATTCACCACCCATAAACTTGTACTATCTGCAGCCATTTACTTTATCTGGAATGAAAGGAATGCAGTAGGAAGATCCAGTGATGGCCCTTGTGGTAGAGTAATTGCAATGCACTGTCATTTACTTTGGGATGATTGGGTTGCTGTGCTTGGAGTTTTATCTGGTCCATGGGTTTGATTGCATGTTAATGGTACAAGGCAAAAGACTTTGGGCTGTACATTAAAGCTTACCCTTTCAACAAAAAAACAAAAACAAAAAATCTAAGAAGTTAGAACAACCTCTTGCCGTACATGGTAAAATATATAAGTCTGTTAAATTATCTTGGGGTTTTTTTTTTCTTTGGTTTAAGATAAGCCCCATTCCCCAAGTAGGGGGAAAGCACCAAACAAAACAAACAAAGACCAAGATTACAAAACAAACGAAGACTGCAAGTAAGAAGACATAAGAACAAAGTAGAGAGAACAACCAATCAACCCATGTCTGCACAGAGACTAACTAGTCCAAGCCATTGACACCATTTTTAATACCAGGTAAACTAGTGCAGGCCATTGACACCATGGTAAGTTGTGTTAACCTCAAGACAGTTACCAGTTGTGCCCACATGAGCTGTTCCTTTGAAATGAGTCTCAAATCCGAAGCTCTTCTTAGCTTGATGGTAGCAAGTCTTGCCCTAGTGCTTGACTTAATCCGTGAGATAATATGCTGGTGAGGGGCTGGAGCATTCCTAAAAACTCTTGCATTTCTTTCTTGCCATAGAAAGTAAATTGCAGCAGACCATAATAGCTTGTGAGTCAAGAACTGAGTGGAGTTCCAGTGATTGAACACCATTGCACCAAGTCAGACCAGCAGTTAGGAAGTATATAGAAGCCTACAATGCTCTGAATAAAATTCCAAACCTTAGAACTGTATGAGCACTTAATGAATAAATGGGATGACCCAAAAACTATAAAATAAAAACTTCCCTCTCTGAAGCTGTTAATATTTGAAAAGTTTATGGCTTGCATAAGAGTGGGTAATGCAATTGCTTCTTACTTTTCATCTCCAAGGACTGTCAAGTCATTGTTTGTGGTCTCTTCATAGTACTCCTCCATCTAACATGTGCATATATACTTGTATATTTCTTTCTGTTTTTTTCTTCTTCTTTTTTTATTTGGAGTGGATATTTCTCACTTTTGCCTTTATTTTTTATTTTTTTTATTTTTTTTGTTTCCACAGAAAATGAAAATTGAAAAGGAATGTCTGTCCAATTGGATGAGGTTCCAATCACTGTACGTGGTTGTAACTGTTAGAAAAGATTATGTAGCAAGAGAAATGTTTTGCATATGGAAGTTTAAAATTGTCAGTAATTAAACTGGAAATGGATAAAAAAATAAAAATAAAAAAAAGCATACATATTTACCTATAGTACCAATTGGTAGAGATAACCCACTTTTGCTATTAATTTGAACCCTAAATGTATTGGCAGTGCAACTTCACGGGACAGGAAAAAAATGGGATGTCTACAAAAGACATTCTAAATTATAAAAATTCTAGTATTTGTGTTGACTACAGTTGTTGTTCTTCCCGTGAGACCATGTGAGCATAGGTTTGAAATGTGAGGATTTCTCTCACTAGGTGATCACTTTCTGGAGGATGAGTGCATCACATACCCAGCACAGAGAAACATATCCAGTCCAGAGACTCATCACACAACTGATCACATAGAACCATCATCCATGAACATAGAAAACAACAAACATGAACATACAACCTTCATTAATTATATACAAAATTGTCTCATAACACAACTGAACATACAACAATGAACATTGAACAATACTATAGTCTGATTCAGTTAATTGGCATCTGAAACCGGCACAAAGGGCAAACATGACTGGTCTTTAGCCACTTAATGATGCAGTCTTCATGGTAGAGGTGGGAGCACGGCATGCAAGTGATCACCTCATCCACTAGAAACGTCTCCAAACAAACCAAACACTGATGATTCATGCAACAAGAACCATCAAACTTCACCTTCTCCAACGTGTCGAGAGAAGATGGACTTGCCGGTACCATCTGCTTGGCCTCCTCCATTGACTCCTCCATAGCTCGAGCTATTGCATCATCATCGGTACTTCCATATATATAGTAATTGGACGGCCATCTTCGAACTTCTACGTCAAGAAAAACAGTGGGTATGGTGTTGTTGGTATATATATGGAAGGTTCTTACATCGTTCATGTGACGACAATGATCGAGGAGCTGATCCAAGAGAGGGCCATCTACAATGACTCCCATGTGAGTGAGTGCGGTAGAGAAGAATAAGCGTGCAGGCTCATCATCATCAGACTCTAGCACGCAGAACGGCACAGCGAGCAATTGTGTGATCTCAGTGGGATTTTCTAATTCCACCGAATCATCGTGGTATGTATAGTGATAGGCAGATGCTATCAAGGGAAGAGAATGATCATGTGAGAAGGACCATTGGAAAGCATCAGGGTCAACAAAATCTTCATCTATCCGAAATGATTGTGTGATCTCCATATCGGAGTCAACATCATCTACCGCCTCCATATCCTCGATTGTTACAAGAAGAATAACAACGGGTAAGGCGTTATGGGCAATACCAGTTCTGTTGAGGTTCAAGACACGAGAGAGTGAGACGAGTTGTTCACACATACGGCCATCTACGGTGACTCCCATGGGAGAGACTTTGTCATAGAAATATGAGTACGCGTCTGCCGCGTCATCGGACTCTATCACAGACGACGGCATTAGGAACAAATCTCTTTGAGGGTAATCTACTTTCATCAACTCATTGTTGTCTGTTTGGATAACGTGATGCACACATACTTTCAACACAAGCCAATCAGACGGTGGCAATTGAAATCCATGAAGTTCCATAACATCCTGATCAAATTCCCAGAACTGCCCTGCGTTTACCATCTTCAAACCACACACAAACTGCAGAATCGAAAGCTATCAAGAGACAAAGTGAGTTCTGAAAAAGGAATAAAGCAGGAAAAAAATGTGATCTTTGGTACAAAAATATTAGGGTTTTCTTTTGGAAAGTATGTAGGAGTGGCGGCGCAGTTATTACATCTTATAAAAGGTTAAAAGGGAAAAGCACCAGGTGGGGATCGGCTTCCGCGTCCTAGTTTTTTTGATGTGGATACGCCGGCGCGGTTATTACATCTTATAAAGGGTAAAAACATAAAAGCACGAGGCTGCATATATAATTTATTTATTTTTAGTTTAGTTTGCCCAACTATTGAACCAAAAAAATATTCTCAACCTATTTACATATATTTTCTATAATAACTAAGGTCGTTTTTGATAAAATTAAAAACTAAATACTAAAAATTTTAAGAATTAAATTTTAAGTGCCGAGTTTTTAAGTACTAATTAAAAAATACTAGAAAATAGATTTTAAAATCTTTTTGAATTTTCAACTTTTTTTTTTGGTTAAAAAGGTAAGCTTGTATATATAATTAAAATGTGGAATGTACAAACAAACTCCAAAGGGGGGAAACAAAAAGGAACAGCAACTCCAGAAACAACAACTCCCTTTGCAACAACTAAGGAAAACAAAAGCATAACATCAGCCAAAAAATAATATTATGCACCCTCTCTAGCCTTCAACCATGGTAGCATTAACCATGAACAATCATCACCATTGCTTAAGATAGAGGCTAGAGATATCCATTAGATGTGGAGCAGCCCTGCTGGAAGAGTGTCTGAAGCTGTGAGGGAGAAGAGATCAGCCTTAATTCTGAACTACTCTTAAGCTTGAGTGAGGCAAGTCTGCTTCTTACACAAGACTTAATTTGAGCAATGATGCTGTGGGCAGTGGAGGATTGATTCCTGAATGCTCTGGCATTTCGCTCAATCCAAATGAAGTAGACTGCAGCAGACCAAAGAAGTTTGTGGAGCAAGAATTGTGTTGAAGCCCAGTGTATTGAGCACCAAAGCAATAAGTCAGCCCAACTGTTTCGCAAAATGTAAAATCCAATAGATTCTTGGATAAACCTCCAAATATGTGAAGTGTAGTCACATTTGAAGAAGAGGTGATCAATGGGTTCCCATGCTGTATGACAGAGATAACATCTGTTTGTGTAGTGCTTGTAAAGCATTGGTTTTGCATCAAGTGTATATAATCTCCCTCTAGCAGCTAGCCAAAGGATAAGGCTGTTTTTGGGTTTGTGGTGTTTGAACCACACCACTTTATACCAAGGAAAAATTGGGGATAAGGGGCTGAAGTAAGCAAGGGTATGTGCCATTGTAAAGACCTTAGAAGAGCTTGGTAACCTTTCAATGCAATCTGGATCAGCAGAGGGCTGGGGTAATTCATGTAACTGTGAAATGAAGCTTTTTGATTGGAAAAAGTTGTGCAGCTGGATTGAGTTTGGATGGACCCATTGGTGGTTGGAAATTAGGCTATCTTGAATTTTCAACTTAAGCATTTAGTTTAGTTATAAGTGATGTCTTTCTCATATAAAATTTTATCCCATTTTAAGTGACACTTATCACTTTTAGTGATTTCAAATTTGTATTATTAAACATGCTTAATTAGATAAACGCTTAATCCATTCTGAATTAAATGCAGAATAGAGTTTTCAAATAGCACTTAAGAAAAGATGATTTATTTAATTTTGGAAAAAATGATATATTATTTTATTTTTTGAAATTTTAAAGTATTAATTATGTAAGAGTGAGCTAAAGCTTTTTGATGTGGGATTATGTCCTTTCTACGTCCAGGTAATGTGAGATTGTACATCGGTAACCTGTCAGTGTCACGCTCGCACCGCTCACGCATACCCACTTGCAAGGTCGCCACAATCACAACCCCCTTAAAGGTCCAATTACGTCATCGTTGGCCACACACACTTCTAACTGTGTGAGACCCTGATACTATTTGTATAGTCAACTCCATCATATAGTATGATATTGTCCACTTTGAATCCGAGCTCACAATATTTTGCTGTTAAGTTTTACCCCAAAAGGTCTCACATCATTTGGAGTGAACCCCATCAATGACAGACCCAAAATATTTGTCGAGAGTGGGCGTCATTGAAGTTTTTTCATAGTTTCAATGGCTGCATTATCAAAATTAACAAAATTTATATGAATGTAATGCAAATTAAAAAATAAAAAATAAAAAATCAATGGGGGCCTAGTTTAATTACAGTATAACTTTTATATACTACTAGTAAGAGGAGTATAAAACTAAAATTGTTAGGACATTTTGTAGGCGTTACTTGGTCCAAGTGTCAAGGTGGGTCCCACTTCCTTCTATTTTGCTTACATGATCAAATTTTATGGATGAAGCAAATCTAAAAATCCTTTTTTTTTTTTTTTTTAACTGTATTATTCGGAAAGTTTTTAAAACTACAAGATAATTGAAAATTTTGGGAAACATTTTTGAAGGTGGACATTTATTTAAAAAAAAAAATTCTTTTATAATTTTTCCTAAAAATAAAATAATCCTAATTGAGAGTTGAGGAGGGTTTGTGAGTTTCCATGTAATTATCATACTAGTAGCATTTGGTTTATCGTAGTACTCCAGAAAAAAAGGCAAGAGTTTTGAAAGGGGTCACTGAGGCATAAAAATATATAGTAGGGCCTATAACAGTTATAAATCTAATATGATTATATACTTCCAAAATTATTCCCTTATAATTTGTTTAAATAAAATTGCATTCCACATACTGAAAAATTGAACTTTTATTGGGTATAGTCCCCATTAATTGATTTATAAATTAACCTAACAATATTAATTGTACAAAGTGAATGCTTTGGCAAGTGCACTGGCTTAAGGAGGGGGACCAGAACACTGCTTTCTTCATGAGGAGTTTTGGTTCAAAGGCTAACAGAAGGAAAGTCCAATCAATTTTTAACTCGTATGGCTCTCAACTGTTTGGGGAGGATATGAAGAACGAATTTCTCACCCATTTCACCACTATTCTTGGGCAGGATTATACACATTATCAAGCTATGGCATCTTTTTCCCATCTCATTACTAAAATTATTCCTAGTCATGTCATTCCTACCCTCACCTCTATACCTACTGGCCTTGAGATTCAAAATTGCATACTTTCATTTCACCCATTCAAAAGCCCAGGTCCTGATGGATATAACTCAGCCTTCTTCAGACACACATGGCATATCATTGGTCAGGATGTCATTTCAACTGTTAAAGACTTTTTCATCACTGGCAAAATGCTCACTGAGATCAATTGTTCTTACATTGCCCTAGTACCAAAGATCCCTAATCCCTCAACAGTTAATGATTTTAGACCAATCTCATGCTGCAACCTTATTTACAAAACCATCTCAAAGCTGTTGGCTAACAAGCTTGCACCTTTACTTCCATACTTAATCAGCCCAAACCAGAATGCTTTTATTAAAGGGAGACATATCACTTAAAATATTATTCTAGCCCATGAATTATTGAATGGTTACAATAAGGTTAACCATCCCCCTAATTGTGCTCTAAAAATTGACCTCATGAAAGCCTTCGATTCAATTCATTGGCAGTTTATTCTTGACTTCTTACATCTCTTTGGTTTTCCATCATCATTTATTCATTGGATATCTCAGTGCATCACCACCCCAGCCTATTCTATCTCCCTCAATAGTGAACTGTTTGGATTTTTTAAGGGTAGGAGGGTCATTAGACAAGGAGATCCCATCTCTCCATTGCTTTTTGTCCTTGCAATGGAGGTTCTTACTCTCACAATTAACCACCAAGTCAGGCAAAATCCTAGCTTCAAGTATCATTGGAGGTGCAGAAAATTGAGTATCACTCATCTCTCATTTGCAGATGACTTGTTGATGCTTTCTCATGCAAATTCTGATTCAGTGCAAAGTTTGGTGAATGCTCTTAACCTGTTTTGTTCATTTTCTGGTTTACAACTTAACCCTGCTAAAAGCAAATTTTCTTTTCAAGGGTGGATTCTCACACAAAATTCTCTATTTTATCACTCTTGCAATTTGATGCTGGTACTTTACCAGTAACATACTTGGGAATGCCCCTCTCTGCTACAGCAATTAAGGCAAGGGATTGTCAAACACTTGTGGGAAGAATCACTAAAACAATTGGCTCTTGGACATCTAAGTTTCTTTCTTATGCTGGAAGGGCAGTCCTCATTAAATCAGTGCTGTGTTCTATCCAAGCTTACTGGTCTCAAGCTTTTGTGTTACCTAGGAAGGTCTTTGATAAAATTAACAGGATTCTTAGGAGCTTCTACTGGTCTGGGGTTGAGATGAAGAAAAGGGGAGCTAAGGTTGCCTGGAATGCAGTATGTAGACCCAAAATTTATGGGGGATTGGGATTTCCTGACCTCGAGCTCTCTAACAGAATTGCATGCCTTAAACATATTTGGAAATTATGTCTAAGGAAGGAAAGTCTTTGGGTTGCTTGGTCCTATAACTATCTTATTACGGAGAAGAGTTTCAGGTACCTAAAGGCAACCTCACTCAGCTCTGGTTTTTGGAGGGACCTATTGAAGCTCAGAGAAATGGCTAGAAGTATCATTCATTTTAAGGTTGGCTGCGGAAAAGACACAAAGCTTTGGCTGGACTTTTGGCTTCCAAAGGGCACAATTGTAAATCTGTTGGGATTAAATGTGAAGTTTCCAAATTTCAGGATGTTTGAATTTTTTGAAATTTTGTTACCACAACCGCCTAAAGTTGCGGTCGTAGTTCTGTTATGCTTCTTAGTTGGTCCTTCTCCTTGTATATAAGGAGTTCATTTCATCTTAAGTGAGATTGGATGTCCATGGTTGGACGATTGATGAATAGAGTGTGACAGGATATCAGGTGCATTTAGGTGGGAATGGTAGTTTCTTGTGAGCTCGGGGCTCACTAGCCCTTTTCCTTTGTTTTAGTCTTGACTAGGACGTTAGTTGTTATGAGTTTTGTCTCTGTCTAGAGGTCGTGTGCGTTTGTGGGTGGACGGATTTGTGAGCGGGTGTTGCTTTATTGGAGGTCATCGATTGAGGTTTTGATTGAAGGGGTCGATTTACTTCCCCGGAGGGAGGTATAGCCTTTAGTTTTGCAATCTTTGTTTTGAGAATGGTTTAATTGGTAGGATGTGAGGCACAAATTGCCGAATGAGGATTATGTTTCTGATGATTGGTACTATTGGCGATGACTAGAGAACGTGTCATGAATTACAATTGAGGATAATTAAATGATGTGGCATGACTCATGTATTTGAATGTTTTCAGAAGGGATTGATTCTAATAGTGTCTTGAAGATAAATATTAGTATTGCTTGGGCGTTATACAGCTAGTGAATGATTAAGGGATTTCATTTAGGAATAATGTGAATGGTTGACTTTGTCTTGAGGATTTCAGCACGAAATGATTGTATTGGGTGTTTTGACGAGGTCAGAATCGAATCGAATAAGGTTATGAAGTTGATTACGTGTTGTGGACGATATGAGGTGACTGAAAGACTTTTAGGTTGATTGATGATTGGGATATTGGCGATATGTTACTTTGGCTTGTTATAATTGAGGCATGATTAGAGTTTTTAGAGCTAGTATGTGATTTTATTGTTGTCGAGGTTATGCATAGAGAGTGGGTTTCGTGGTTGTTTTGTGGATTGTATAGGGTTGTGTTTGAGGTTTAGACCTGAGGATAGGAATGATATCTGTGTTGAGGTCAGATCGATGATGAGAATGGCATGGCCAACCATTTCTCCTGAATCAATCCTTCTTTGACACGATGTCGGGTCAAAGGTCAATGATTACTCCGACTTGTTGGTGATAGTGAGAGTATGGTAACAATGTGGACTTTCACGATTTATCTTGAGTGCTGAGAGGTGTTAAATGGTACTGGGTGTTTGATAGCAGGTTAGTGGTACAATCATTGATTTTTGAGAATCTTGTTTTGAGGATCTGTGTTCAAATGCAGGGTGATGCATTTTATTGTTTTGGTGACTCATGATTATATGATTATTGCGAGATTCATCATTTAGTTATCTTAAGGTTGATCAGTATGATAATTATTGATTAGTGTGGTTGGTGGTCATTGTATGATGATGTAGTTGTATAGTCGTATGATTGATGACAGGTGTTGGTTTGGCAGAGATGTGTTGATCTGAGGTTAAGTCTGATCTTCATTGGGGCCTGGTTTGTCCTTTAAAAAGAGTGAACGGAGATAGAATGTTGTCATTATCGGGGGTCTTGTGACCATTTTTCTTTCGAGCCTTGTGTAACAGTATAGAAAGGACCAATATTGGTTTTAAGTCAAGTATAGAATTCAGTAGGTTT